CCCCCCCCCAGCTCCAAGTTTGTTCCACGCAGTTCCACATTGCTGTGTTAAATCTCAAATGATTCCAATTAAAGTTGCACTATGTAAAAACCCGATTCTCCTGGCCTGAGTAGCTGCTGTTCTTTGGCGTGTGAAGTGCTAGGAAGAGCTGTGATATGCCCGTTGTTAAGCAACATGTCAAGATTTTTCAATTATAATGCAGGGTTTATTGCTACTCACCATTGTGCCTTTGCTGTCCTGGAGACTCAAGTGTCTTAAAATCCCGTCTCCCCAACAGATGCTGGAAGGTAATGTGTCTTGTTTGAAGTCATCATGTGAGAAGTTCGGCTTTGCTCAGTGGATCGCCCACCACTTGGTGTGACTTATGAATCTAATAACCCTTTGCAATATCCGCAAGCTTAAACTCTCAACTACCTTGGCGACTACAGGAGACAAAGCAACTGACATCGATGTTGAAAAACCTATAGATTTACGCAAACGCCCTCACTCCGAGAGACACGTTTCCTTTTGAGTTCTTACGTGATTCTAATGAATGAGCGAGGTTACCAATGACTGACTGCCCAACTGCCCTGCTATATAGCGGGTGGTTCCTGGGGCTGCCTCCCAACCGCCTGTCCCTGGGTCCTGGCACAGAAAGTTCCCGGGGAAGCGAGGAGTTTCAGGGTACCTTCATAAAAATAACCCAGCCTGCGCACGGCTCCCTTGCCCACTGCTCAGGTCACACCTGGGGCTCCGGCAAAGCTGAGCTCGGCTCGGGAGATTTTCCTGTCGCCAGGTAAGAATACCTTCGCCTTGTCAGGCTAGGGCGGGAAGACGGCTGGGGAACTTGTTGCTTATCAGCGCCAGCAGGCTACCGCTTTAATAATAATACCAGAAAAGCGCAGGGGGAGGGGTGGGGGGGCGAAGGGGGGCGGCAACGACGACGACTAACCGTGCTGTTTACGTGACCAACTCACTGTGACTCCCTTGTCGAAAAGAAAACTTCTTCCAAAAGTTCGTGCCCCTCCCCCTCCTCCATCATGACTAAGGGTCTCCAGCTGATGAGATCGTGAGTGATGATCAGGTGGGGGGTGGGGGGGGGCTCCGCGGCGGGGCCTGGGGGGTGAGTGACTTGTCCTTGGGAACAGCTACATGCGTCGAAGCGCGCATCAGCCGGGCAACTTTCCCTTTCCCTCTTAGGGACTGATGACTAGGCGAGAGGCAACGGGGCGAGCCACTAGTTGCCCACAGGAACCTGTGTAAACCGCGCTCTCGGGCGGCTGAGTTGAATGAAGTTATGACTGCGTTTGCTCTAATGGGTTATGGCTTCTCAAATGGGAGTTAACAGCCCGGGTGCGCAGCGAGGTCGGCCTGGCGCGCCGCGGAGCGTGGAGCCGCGGGCCAAGGCAGGGAGGGTGCCACCGCGCTCGCGTCCGCTCGGTGCTTCCTCCCGGAGCCGGGGCCGCAGCATCCGGGGGCTCCCGGGCCGCCAGGTGCCGGGCGAGCGCGGCGGGGAGGCGCCGGAGGAGCCGGGCCGGGCGGCGAGCGGCGGGAGGGGGCTCTCCCAGGAAGCCCCGCGCTCTGCACCCGCGCTTCCCCCGCAGTGGCTGCGCAGGCTGCGAGGTGGGGAGGTCACGTGTGGCGGAAAGTAACTTAGAAGAAGGGAAAGGAGGAACTTCAAAGAGAAGAAAAAAAGCACAACAAAACAAACCACCTCCCCACTCCCTTACCCCCGCCCCCGGTGTGAAATAAAGGTAAAGGTGGCGAGGTGGGAGAGGGGCGCCGCGCTCTGCTGGAGACCTGGGGAGAACTCGGGAAATCTCAGGCGGCAAGCTGTAACTCGATCACCGGCCACGTCCCCCCGCCTAGGGCGGCGCTAACCCGAGGTATCTTTCCACTGAAGCTGCCCTTCGCCTACCCCTAGCCGGCGCCTGCACAGCCGAGCAGAGGAACCGAGGAAGAGGGTAAACCCGTTGTTATGGAGATGCAGGGCGCTCCGAGGAGCGCAAAGGCCCTGGGAAGTCCCCAGACGCATTTCGAGTTGTGTCGTTTTGGCTTCAACACCATGATTTTATTCTCCACCCAGAGTTCCCACGAAGGGGAGCCCACCAACGGCGTCACAGGCCCTGGCCGCGGCGCTATTGACTGCAGGGACGAGGCAGAGAGAGGCTGCAGAAGATGGTGGATGGCTCTGAAGTTTCGGACCACCCAGCCCTTTCCAATTGCCAGCTTCTTTCTGCCAATCAAAAGTGCTATATTTGAATGTCATTCCTGCTTCCTGATGTGCAAAAACTCAGTTACACGAGAGGATGGTTAGAAGCAACAGAACATTAGCACTCAGTAGCTGCTTCAAAGTCCTGCTCCCCTCCCCCTCCCATCCCAGAAATGCCTTCCTTATGGAAAACAGTCTTTACTTTCTAATTCTGTATATGGACTTCTGTTCATTGGAGTCCCCATTGGTATTGGGTTATTGTTACTATAAGTAAGTCCAGTGTTGACTTGATATCACTGGAGAGATGTTTCCAGAGCCAACCCAGCTTATCCTAGGCTCCAGCCAAGGCACATATATACAAGTGCTTGCTGGACCTCATTAGGGACAGTTCTAGACTTGCCAGGCTGCTGGAGACCTGAGGTAGGGTCATCATAAAAGGATGCCAGGCATCCTCACAGTCACCAACGCAACAGTTCCCTCCAACTAAAAGGACTGCTCAGATGTCCACGAACTGCCAGTTTTTGTTGATCCATGAATTAGCCAGCAGATGCTGCCCTAAGACTGGGACAGCTGGCACAGACCATCCTCAGAGGTCTTGGGGTACAGGTTTTGTGGGCAAAATTGGTTTCCTTAGAATGCAATTCATAATGCTGTAATTAAGTTCCCTTGCCTATTCAGCAACTCAAGTACAGATCTGAAATCTTGAAATAACACAGAGAGATGGTCACTATATGAACATAATTATTTCCCATTGTCAACTATGTGATGTATTTATCTGACTTCTTTGTCAGCAGTTTGTGGTCTGTATAGAGACTATTGGTTACTCCTCTGATGGATCTTTATTCTGAAAATTAATGCTGTATTTTATAGTGGGACACCCTGAATTGTTAGCTGGAGTGCTTGGGAATTCAGAATGTGAATGATTGATTAGTTTGAAATGATGTAGACAACACATGATTGTGCTGAAAATATTTCCCAAACAATATTTTTGACCATTGCCCTGCTTTCTTAGAGTCATTTCTAAAACCTGCAACCAATGGACCAAGACGAGGGACAAGAGTTGCTAAATAATGAGTCGCAATATAGAGTGGGGGCAAGGAGTGAAGAAATGATGTTTGACATATATTATTTTTTCCTCTCTTGATTTCTCAGTGATCTGAGGGAGAATTCTCTTCTCTTGGTGCATTATTACCTCTCCACCTTTTTATCTCCATCCACTCACTTGCGTATTTTCTTTTTTTCCATCTGCAGAAATCCAGTGTCTAATATAAGCAAAGGCTGTAGTCATTTCATTTGTTAAGATAGATGCCAAGCACTGTACCTGCCACAATTTTAATCTCAGGAGCATTTCCTCCTGAGGTCATCTTATTTTCTCCACACAACCCTAGTCAGCTGTGATATGAATATCATCCTTCTCTAGGTTCATCTGACCTCATTCATTTTTAGTAATGGTAAGAACGTTTCAAACTGAACAGTAAACAAATCTTGTTCCTTAGAGATCACTACCTAACAATGTAGCCAGATTTAAAGCAAAGTGTACTAACACAACTTATAAGGAAGGATTTTTGCTTTCAAACCATGAGTGTTATGTTCCTTATAGGTGGATTGTTTGATGCTCACGTGCAGTTTTCTACCAAAGCCGTAGTTATAAAGCTTGTCTTCTGCCTGTACATTTATGAAGATGATGAGTACAAAAATTAATAAGAAGAGGCTTATCAAGACTAGGAAGCACAAAATATCATTAAGTAGATATGTGAAGGGTCTCAGAATTAGTGAGAGAGAGGTAACAAAACAGGAGTCTGCAAAATCAGAAATGAAAGAGGATTCCTTTTTCTTAAGGAATTAAGAGATGCTTGGAATATCTCTTGAGACAAAGTCTACCCTCTTGATTTCTAAAAGGAAATTCAGCAAGTCAGATTACAAGGGATGGTTTGGATTACCCCCTCCGCCATATCAAGGTAGCAATGATGAGACAGTACTTCCATTCTTTCCTCCCAACTTTTCTTTTCAAATCTGTTTGGTTGTAGTTAATTGCCAAGCTTTCCATTTCGCCTTGTGTTGGTTAGATTATTTCCTTCCTTCTCTCTTACTCTTACTTTCTCTCCTTCCCATTATGTATTTATTCTATGCCAGGCATTTTGATAGGGGCTGGTGATCCATATATGTATTTATTAACAATTCTCTGCCCTAATGAGTCTCATAGTCTGATAGAACCAAGATCTGATCTATGAA